GCTGAGGACTCTAGATTCATCAACTAAGAAGAGAAGGACTAAGAACTGGTGGCCAGGAGCAGACTTGCAGAATGTGCCCTTTGGAGATATAAATTATTACATATGCCTGAGTGGGTTTTTTTGTTTGTGTGTTTTTTAAAAAGCTGAAGTGGATAGAGAGAAATACTTTTAACGGATGGTATATGGAGGGGATTATAATCATTGTAATGAAACAAGTTATATGAAAAAAAAAAAAAAGAGTGTAAGAAACAGGCTGAGAAGATTATAAGGCGGCAGAGGGGAACTGAAACCATAATCAGCAAGTTGGCTAGAGGGAGAGATGACAACAAGAAGCCAGGCCTCTTAGACTAAAGAGCAGGTGAGAGGCTCAAAATAAGAGAGGAGACTGGTATTTAAAAACACAGTAGCATCCACTAGTGTATTCACAGGCATACGCATGCTCTAAGAATCTTGTTTTGGACTTGAGAAGCACAGACTAAAGGAGAGGGACAGTACTGCTCTCCAGCTCCACCCCAGGACCCTATATTATAATCACCCTTTACTACTTAATATTCCTTCAACAATGTAATTTTTTTTTTTTTTTTACTTCTCTATGCCTTTGTTGAGCCTTAGTGTGGTGCTGTAGGATATGCACTGGACTGCTAACTGCAAGGTCGACAGTTCAAACTCACTAGCCACTTCTGGAAACTTTATACAAGGTCACTGTAAGTCCTGGTATGGTGCTATAGGATAAGCACTCAACCTTATGGCAGGTTTGAACCACAAGGTCAGCGGTTCAAACTCACCAAGTAGCTCCTTGGAAACCCTATACAGGGTCATTATAAGTTGAACCAACTCAATGACACTTAACAATGTAAGTCAGAACTGATGTGATGGCACAGCACACCACCACCTTTGTTAAAAGCTCATTCTTTAATAATTTTGCATCTTTATCATTGCTTATAACCTAGTTATCACTTAGATTGAGCAGCGGTGTAGCTCAATGGCTGATTCTTGAGCCCCACGTAGAAATGTAATTCCGCCTTAATTCTACTACTGTGTGAACGTTTTCCTGAATATCCTCTCTCCCAGACACACTGTGGGATAAGTCATTCTCTCAAGCAAGACTTATAAAACTGAGCTTCTACCACAGAATTAACCACAATTTAACATAGTTTGCTCCTACTGAAGGAGTCCTGGTGTGGTGCTGGACTGCAAAGTTGGTTTGAAGCGCAAGTTTGGTGGTTTAAGCTCACTAGCTGCTCCTTGGAAACCCTACACAGGGTATCTATGGGTAGGAACCCACTTGACGGCATGTAACAACAATAACTCCTACTGAAAGGAGCTCTGGTAGTGCACTGGTTCCAAGTTGGGCTGGTAACTCGTTCCAAGTCAAGGTCAGCAGTTCGAAACTACCAGCCATTCTGCAGGAGAAAGACAAGGCTTTCTGCTCCTGTATAGATTTATAGCCTCAAAAACCCTACATAGGGTCACTATGCGTCAGAACCGACTCCATGGCATGTAACCACCACCACACATTTACTGAACTGCAATGTCTTGAGGCTCGAATCATATCCTATTCTTGGAAATTCCAGAAGGTCTCATAGAAGCCTTACGGTACAATCTCAAAACATATTCATTGAGGACAATGAGCCTAATTAGGGTCAGAGGATTGCTGTAAAATACTGTCAAGTCGGTTCTCACTCACAGCAATCTTGTATAGGGTTTCCAAGGAGCAGCTGGTGGGTTTGAACAGCTGATCTTGTGGTTAGCAGTCCAGAGCTTATCCTATAGTGTCAAACCAGGTCTCCTTAAAAGCCCAATTAGAACTCAGCTTAGGGAGAGAGGGAAGAATTTTGAAAAGACATAGCATATTTCTGTGTG